TAGTGATACTGCCTCGGAAACCCAAGGAGGGGTCGCTATGAGTAGGGGCTGACTCCACGGCAAACAACAACAACAACGATAAATCTTTATGGAAGTAGATTGCCCAGTCTTCCTTCAGGGAGGGGCTGGTGGGTTTGAATTTCCAACCTTCTGATTAGGAGTCAAATGCCTTAGGCACAGCACCACCAGAGCTCCTTTATGTGCCTTTACGGTGCTTCCTGTTTCCAACTATGGATGTTCCCTAGCATTAAAGCAATGTTAATAAGCACTAGCAATAGTTTGTTCAGTGGTCAGTATCTATGGTAATTGCATTTGTAAAACTTTATTGTTCCTGGCAGTGCCTAAGCCTCTCTTCTGAGGTATTGGCTTCATTCTTCTATTTGAGTTACAGAATAGGGGCTCTGTGAATGACTCATTCTCACTCTGTCCTTCTTTCAGGTGTACTGTTTCACTGGTTTTTTACTCCTCAAAGTACAAAGAAATGAGAAATTATCTTAGATGCAAACAATAATTAGAAACATAAAATGTGTTTAATTTGTTCTTTTTCTTCTTTTGCTGTTGGCAGGAATTTAAATTCTGATGATTTTGTTCATTGTAGCTAAAAGAATATGCAATCCAAATTAAAAATTTTTTGCATAGTGAAATCAAACTTAAAGGTAGTATATAACTGAAAGAATATTAATTTTCTGTTAGCATTTAGATTTTTAGATTTTTGGATTTTTGGTTAGATGGACACCATTGATTGGAAATTCTGATGATGGTGAAAGCAATGTACTTTCTTTTGGTCCTTCTTAATTAGCTGATGTAAATTAAACAAAATAATGAACGAAAACTCTCAACCAGAGTGATATTGTAGATGAAATTCTTAAGTCATTATTTGTTGCATTTTACAGATGAAATGAATGCCAAATCAATTGACATTAACTTCACTTATAAGAGTAGTATTAAATTGTACATTTCTTTTGAACTATAGTATATTAATATAAGTTAGAAATTGTTAATATTGATGGAGTTCATCATAAGACTTTTTATTTAAATACTTTAAAATATATTATTGCATTTTTAAAATGGAACCTTTGCATTTAAGAATGTTTCATGATTTTCCTTCTGTTGTCTAAAATTAATTATAAATTTCCCCTGGTAGAGAAAAAGGTCCATCCCACAATACAATTTTCCATATTTGGGGTTCCCCCACTTTTCTAAAGTTAGCTTTATGCCACTTGCTTTTACAAAAGATCTGTATTAGTACTTGTGTTTTACTAACAGAAACAAACCTAGAGATGATTTTCACCTTTGTAGAAAAAAAGATGAAACGCAAAACTTGTGTTCAGCGTTTGTTTTGCAGCGAGTTGTTAAATAGGCAGTGCACATCCGGGCAACGAGAGAGGGTCATTAAGCTCCTTCCCGCTTTGAGCTGTGTCTGTAAACACTATATGTTAGTGTTATTATAAGCTTTATGGTATGATTTGATAGGTTATTTCCTGGGTCTTGATGACTCAAAAAGTAGCTCTGATGGCATAGTGCCTAAGGCATTTGACTGCTAACCAGATGGTTGGCGGTTCAAAACACCCTAGCCACTGAGGGTCAGGAAGACTGGGCAATCTACTTCCATAATCACTTACAGCCGCAGAAACCCAAGGGGGGTCGCTGTGAGTCAAAATCCACCCGGCAGCAGGTTTGTGTTCTTTCTTTTTCTGAGATGACTCAAAAATTTTTCCCGTATAAATGAATAGTAATTGCTTTTTACTTTATGACGTTTTGGCTTATGAAAGGTTTCATAGGAATGCTCTGCTTTGGGATAGTAAGGCAAACCTGTATGGCTAGAGCATCTTAACATCTTTAATTTGCGTACCAGAGCCTTACTTTCGGGGAGATTATTCTAAACAGAGACTAAATAATTATACCAATTTTTAATTTTGATATTTTAATTTGATATTTTTAAATAGTGTTTGTTTTTTAAATGTTTATGTCAAAAAAACCACTGCCATCAAGTTGATTCTGACTCATGGAAAGAGTATGAGACTCAAATTCAGGAGATTTAAGTTCAAGTTCCACCTCTGCTTCTTAATAATTTGACCTTTGGCAAAAATTTAAGTATACTGAGCATTTTTTTCTCTTCTCGGTGTAATAATAATACCTGCTTTGCGTGGCTTACATTGGTTCTGAGTGATCGTGTGCGGGTGGCACAGCAGCAGGAGCAGGATCAAATCCAGAGGGGAAATCCTGACTCAAGAAGGCTCTAATCGTTTTTGGAAAGAGGCTACTCCTTACACAACCTCAACTCAATGAGCAGTTCATTGTACATGAACAGTAAAATAAAAGTAAACATATTAAGCTGAGTATAATTTCAGAATGTTAAACCTAGAAAGCATCTTTGGGATTTTCTAGCTAAGTCCTCTTATTTTACAGATGAAGAAACTGAGACAGGGTTTTCCAGTAATTTGTTGTGGCAAATTTACATGCAATTCTCAAGGAGGTTAAGGATATACAGGTGTTGAGGTTAGTTGTATGAGGACTGAAGTTGCAATTTTACCACTGACTTAGAATGCACCTTCAGAAAACAACCTCTCTAAGCCTCAATTTCTTCATCTGACAACTGGAGGTAGTAATAACCTAATATACTGAGTTGAGGAAGTAACAAACCAAAAACCAAACTCACTGCCTTCAAGTCGGATCCGACTCATAGTGACCCCTCCTTGGGTTTTCAAGGCATTATCACTACGGAAGTAGATTGCCCAATCTTCCTTCCGAGGAGTGGCTGATGAGTTTGAACCACCAGCCTCCTAGTTAGCGGTCAAATGCTTTAGGCACCACATCGCCAGAGCTCCCTGATGTAGTAAAGGAGATGATAATATGAAAAAGGCTTAGTATATTTGTGGCACACAGTGTGCATTTAATAGTGTTAAGCAGAAACTTGCAGACCATTATTCACTTCCTCCACTTAATTTGTTCAAGGTAATGGCTAATAGTGCAGTTGTGTGTCACTGAAATAACCCAAACAGTACTTTGCCTGTGTTTCATTCTGCACATAAAAGTAAGAAGAAATTGCTTCTATATAATAGCATTGAAAAGAGAAAGTTATTTGAAAACGCTGAAAACCAGTTGCCATCAAGTCAATTCTGACTTCTGATGACCTCATGTATATAAGAGTACAACTATGCCCCATAGGTTTTTCAGTGACTGATTATTTGAAGTAGATTTCCAGGCCTTTCTTCTGAGGTGCTCCTGGGTGAATTTGAACCTCCATACTTTTCAGTTAGCAGCAGAATTTTGAACCAGTTTTTCCTGGTTGAGTCATGAATTTATAAAGTGAAACTAGAATAGACCTGAATTTGTAAAATGTGGGTGAACTGGAATGAAAACCAGAACAGGAAATATTCCAGGTCATTGCCCTTCTAGAAACTTAATTTTCCTCTTAGAAAACAAGGGGAGTGTGTGCATTGCTTAGCAACCAGATCTCTTGAGTAGCACAATCAGAAACAGTGGTGCCCATGCCCTGCTCAAACATAGTGGCCAGTAACTGTCACTTTGAATGTGTTGTCTTCAACAGTCCTGGCAATAATCCAGTTTTTGGCATCAGGCTTCTGACAGGGCTCAGTATGCTTCTTTATAGACTTCCATTTCAGGGCTTCAACTTGTAATTTTTCATGTTGTGGTTATCATTGTGCTTTGTCCAAATTTTAAAAATTCAAATCTGTTGTGATTTCACTTCATCAGCCATGATTGAACTGGTTTGAAGCCCTGGTTAGCATAAGTATATTAACAGTTTATACCACTCAGGGACTCCTTGAAAACATGAGAAAGTTTAAAAATGAAAGTTGAGAAAATCTAATATAAATGGCCATCTCCTTGTTTGCATAATTTAATAAAAAATTGAAATGGCTTAGATACTTTAAAAATATGAATGATGGATTTTATGGGATATGAAAATCATATCCCATCCCTAGGCCTTTCCTAGAATAAAATGACATGACAGATTTTTGTTTGATTCATCCTAATTGTGCACTGAATGTCTGTGACCTTTTTTTTCTTGACAAGTAAAACTGCCAGTTCTGGATCTATGTAAAGCATGTTTTCTGGAGCCATGACTGTGCCTTGTTCATTCTCTGTGCTTAGTATAGTACTTTGAATATGATAGGCACATAAATGTTGATTTTTTTTAAAAACAGGCTCTTGTTGAGGAAAAGGTAAATATAGAATTATTTAGTGTCAATGAAGATATGCCATTACAAAAGTTAATTAAAATTTAAAACATTCTTAATTTCAGATTTCCTTTTTTTCTGGGGAACTGTATTTTTAATAACAACAACTTTAGTTGCCCTTTTCAAAAAAGAAAACAAAGAAGTATCACTAGTGAAAGAAGAAACACAAGGGATTACGGATACTTACAAGTTGCTTTTTGCGATTATAAAAATGCCAGCAGTTCTGACATTTTGCCTTTTGATTCTAACTGCAAAGGTAAGAGATTTATAAAGCAAAATTATTATTGTAATTACCAATAAAATGGAGTACTTTCAATGTCTTTTTATATCATAAGTTTCTTTCTACCGTCATTAGAATTTAACATTGAAAAAACAATATTACCTGTTTATTAAATGTGTTTTAAAAGGTGTAATGATATTAAACATAATTTCATAGTAAGCTGCATGTCTTGGGATCATGGAAAGAATTATATAGACCTTGAAATAGTTCTAATAAGTGTGAAATTATATTTATTTAATGAAATTAATGCTTCAAATGAGTATCTTGAGAAAATAATAGCTTTCTACTATTATAATCAGGAAGGAACCTTGGTGGTACAGTAGTTAAGCATGCAACTGCTAACTGAAGGGTTGGTTGTTCAAACCTACTAGCCACTCCATGGGAGAAAGATGTGGTAGTCTACTCCTGTAAGGATTATAGCCTTGGAAACACTATAGAACTGTTCTGTTCTCTCCTTTAGGGTTGCTCTTGGTTGGAATCAACACAACAGCAATAGGTTTGGGTTGGTTTATTTTAATGAGAGCTGTGGTGATAAAAGTCACTCGGCTGCTGATCAGAAGGTTGTTGTTGTTGTTGTTGTTATGTGCCATCGAAAGGTTAGTGGTTCAGAACCACCCAGTGCTTCCACAGGTGAAACACATAGCAATCAGCTCTGTCAAAATTACAACATAGAAAACCCCATGAGGTAGTTCTGCTCTGTCATGTGGAATCACTATGAGTTGGAAATTGACTGGATAGCACCTAGGAACAATAACAACAGCTATTACAATGAGTATACATTTAATGTTAAGGATAGTTGAATTATTTATTTAGAATGTAAAAGATATAGAAGTATATGATTATGAAACTTATTGCTGTTGAGTTGATTCCAACACATAATAAGCCTGTAACGACAGGGGAGAAGTGCCTCATAGGATTTCCAAGGTTGTAATTTTTGTGGAAGCAGACTGCCACATCTTTCTCCCTTGGAGCGACTGACAGGTAAATCATTGAGATTTTTTTTTAAATGTTAGAAGGCAGTGTTCCATAGAGTAAACAGAGATTACTGGTGATTTTCATTTTGTTCTTTATGATTTCTGTATTAAGATGTCCTAATGTTGTAAAATATTTTTAAGACATTATGCTAGAAGAAAAATAAGTAATTTTGTTACAATGAGCTATTGATAGTATTGGAATTAATACTCATAAAATCTAGAATTACAGAATTTTCAAATTATATATTTAAACTTATCTACATAAAGATTTTCGGAAGGAAGGTTGGGCAATCCTACTTCCGTAGTGATACTGCCTCGGAAACCCAAGGAGGGGTCGCTATGAGTCAGGGCTGACTC